CTCTTACAGTGGGAGGGACTTTGCTCCTGCACTCCCCATCTTGCAGCCCACCCTCATGAGAGGTGTGGGAAGGGAGGCTGCCAGTGAAGACTGAGGCAAAAAAGCTGGTGAGTACCTCAGCCTTCTCCTCGTCCATTGTTACCAGCTTGCCAGTCTTGTTCATTGAGCGCGGGGGGGATACTTTTTTTTAAGCTTCCTTTTCTGGCTGACATACCTGTAGAAGCCCTTCTTATTGTTCTTTGTGTCCCTTGCCAAGTTCAGCTCCCTCTGTGCCTTGGCCTTCCTTACCCCATCCCTACAAAACTGAGCAGCATCCCTACGCTCTTTCCAGAATACCTGTGCCTGCCCTTCTCCCCTTTGGTTTTACCAGCAGGTCTTGACTCAGCCATACTGGTCCCTTGCCTTGCTTTCCCAGTTTCTTACACCTGGACATCAAGAGCTCTGGTGCTCTATGGAAAGTGTCCTTAGAGATCTACCAGCTCTGTTCTGCGCCCTTGTCCCTGAGGGCAGTTTCCCAGGGATCCTATTGACTAACTCCTTGGAGAGCTGGAAGTTTGCTTTTCTAAGATTGAGGGTCCTGACTTTACTCTTTGCCTGACCCGTATCCCTCAGGACTGCGAACTCCACCAGTGCATGATCACTGCAGCCCGGGGTGCCTCCAATATTGATGTCACCAACTAGCTCCCTTGCATTGGTGACCATCAGGTCTAGTATGGCATCCCCTCTGGTAGGGCTGTCTGTTACCTGGCCTAAGAAGTTATCCTCTATGCATTCCAGGAGTCTCCTGGATTGCCTACAGCTCACCGTGCTACTTTTCCAGCAGATGTTGGGGTGGTGTCCCCCAGCAGGACAAGCACCTGCGAGTGTGAAGCCTCTTGTAGCTCGAGTAGGAAGGGTTCATCCATAGGCTGCCCTTGGTCAGGCCCCCTGTAGTAGATACCAGCCACGAGGGTTCCTTTGTCTTTGTTGCCTCGGTCTCTGATCCTTACCCATAACCTTTCAATCTGCTCATGGCTATTCTTCAGAGACAGCTCTTCATGCTCTATCCATTTCTTGATATAGAGGGCAACGCCTCTGCCCCTCTTTCCTCACCCATCCCTTCTGAGCAGCCTGTAGCCGTCAATAGCTGCACTCGAGTCATGGGATTTGTCCCACCAAGTTTCAGTAATGGCAACTAGGTCACAGCTTTCTAGCAGCATGGTGGCTTCCAGCTCCTACTGTTTGTTGCATATGCTGCGTGCTTTGATGTAGAAGCACTTCAGCTGGGCTGTCAGCCGTGTCTGAGAGGAACACCCCTTAATTCCTTTGAGGGGTTTCACTGGTGTTTCCCTGTTGAATCCTATTACCTCAGGAGCCCTGGCTCATCTCTTTTTTGTTAATGTTGATCTACTAGTGCTGGTGTAAGTACCAATTTTTTGTTGTTGTTGTTAATGTGGCAATAAGATTTCCTGTTTTGGGGAGAAACTGATAAAGGTGAAGGCCTTTATGAGTGAACACCTTTATGCTAAATTAGTGAAAGAAATGGGTCATGCTACTTGACAATACGGTAAATGCTACAAAAGTTGGTGTGGGAAAGGACTAGAATTAGTATATATGTGTACTTTGTTGACCTCTCAAAAGAGGGCAGTTTAGTCCTTCCAGTTACTTTTATGGGGCGGGTTTGAGTGATTAAGTGGCAGATGAGGGCGTTGTGTTTATAGGAGCGGGATTGTGCTGCTTGTGTTGACTGTCTCTGATTTCTTCACATTGGAAACTTCTAGATGATCTCCAGAGGTCCCTTCCAACTCCTACCATTCTGTGATTCTCCCTTCTGGGGAAAAGGGGGGAGGGTGTGATTAAGTAGTAGATTTGCTTTCTGATGGAACAGTATACTGCATAACACTAAGCAGAATAGTGATAGTCCTATTTGGTCTGATAGAAATCTTGAGCTCTGTTTAAACACAAATGCATTTAGGTTTATTTTTATAAGCTGTAGGGAATGTTCTGAATAACATGTTTGGTTTTGAGACAGATTTGCATCTTTCTGGACCTCTGCAGTTACTCTATTAGGTATTGTGTGGTTTTGACTGCCTTAAAATTGGAGTATGCTGTCAGGGCAGTGGAGTTCCTTGTTGCTTGTATGGTGCCAAGTAGTACCGAGGGCCACAATCTATATAGCTGGTATTTATAGATGAGAAACTTCTCAGACTTTTACCAAACCCAAAAGTTTACAGACGAAAGGTGGGGTCACTCTGTTCTTTGCTTTTGTTTTGTTCCTTTTTTATTTTGTTTGTTTGTTGTTGTTTTTTTTTCCCAGGAGTCTGTTTTTTCAGATATGTAACTCTGTGGCTTAAGACTAAAAAATGCACACATTTACTCTTAGCTTTTTTTTCGCATCTGTGAAGAGATTTGCTGGAAAAGCAGAACTTGTAGTCATGCACCTGTCAGAGGGAGAACACACCTGAAGAATTAGGAGAGCTTAGTAGAAGTGGTTTCAAGGTCTAGGGTTGTTAATATAAGCTATGTAATATGGGTTAAAATATATACTCCAAACAGATGCTTTCAGTGATACAGATTTGGAAGTGGTTTTTAATCTATTTGCTATCTGTACAGTTGGACAGCTTTCTCTTTACTATCTAGAGTAATTTTATTATTCCTAATAAAACGATGGCTTCTGTTGCTGCTCCTAATGTTCATGCTAATAAGTATCCGGTATGTAGAACTATTTCACAAAATGTTCATTAGAGCATTTTCATTTAAATTTTGATATGAAAGTAATTTGTCAGTTTTGTAACATAGCTGTGAGCAACAACGAAATGAGTTGGCACTTAAGTGCAATCTTTATAAATGCAGCAAGCTTTCTTTCATATTCTGACATATGAATAGGTGGCATAGCCAGTAGGAAAATGAGAACTAAAGGCATTTTGGGGAAAGAAAGGTCAAAGAATGTGCTCCCTTCCTTTAATTTGTTGTTCCACCTCTGTTTTGTGGTTTTTTTCCTTGGATAAATGGGCAGGTGGATAATCATATCGAGATTGCATAATAGATCTTTTCTCTGAATGTTAGGAAGAGCAATTAACTGTTACTATCCAATATTAAATACTTGCTATAATCTTACATATAGTGTATCATACATATACTGTGTATGTATGATATCTATATCTATATACAAGTAGTGTTTCTAGTGAGTTCATCTCTGCTGTTGGATCTTTATAAAGACGTTCTGTGACTGCTGCATTTTCCCATCATGCCTTAAATATAGTAAATGCAATTAGTATAAGCCAAAATTTATTTTGTAAGTAGTTAAAATGTTTGAATACAGCCAGATTCCTAAAAGAGCTCAGGGTAAAGTCTGGAGCATATATTTCTTTGGAATCAAGCTAAAAACCTCTGGGAAGGTAAAATCCCTAAAGGAATATGAATCAAGGCAAGTATTAAAGCACCTGTAAAGGAAAAAACCTTGTGTGTGTGGTCCACAACATGTCAGTAGGCATGACAATAGGCAACAACTCTGTTGACTAAAACAAGTAGGACAGGGAAAAAAAATAAAGTTGAACTAGTGGCGAATGAATTTAGTCATCATTGTGAAGAGCTTGGGAAAATTTTTTTTGCTTATTTTACATTCCTCACCACCACCACCAATAGGTACTTCTACAAAATAGTGGGGTAGATGAAACGTAGGATAAAAGCCAGTAACAGCAGTATTAGTGGTTGTATTTTATGTATTTAATATCTCTTTATATCTCTCTATATATAAGAGAATCAAGTATATTGTAATATCTTTTATAGTAACGAGTATAATAATATAATGTTATGTAATTAAATGTTTTATATGGGTGCGTGTATATATATATACACACACAGAGTGCTTGCTTGCGCATAAATAAGAAGCATGCATTCTCAATTCCATTTTTTTTTTTCTTTAGATGAGGTAAAGGCAGAGAAATTTTTGAAATCAGTAATGAAAATGAGTCAAAATCGTCAATTTGTCAGGAGTTAAGAAGATTGAGAGGGTGTTGAGGGACTGTAGGAGAAAAGAGTGAGGGTGAGGAAATTCTTTCATAGTGTAAAAGCAAGAGGCCTTTAATTCTGAAAAACTGTAGTTTTGAAGTTGATACAGGTGAAATATATTTAATAGTACATAAACATAACATCTAGAATTTGCTTCTTAGGAGAGCCTGGAGTTTAAAAGTGTAGTGAGATTTAAAGTCTTAGAAATTCATGTGAATGCCCTTCTTTCATAACCCAACTACTTAATTGAGAATTACAAATAGCCTCTGTAGTCTCTCTGCACTAGATTTAGTTGCACATCGTTTGAAATAGCTTGTGCTATTCACTGTCAAATATCTGGACTAGGGGTCATTGAAGGGGCAATTTCATTACTCTGAAATCAGCGTTGCTGGATTTTGGCTTCATGCAGAAATGTTTTTATACTCAGAATACCTAATTTTCTGAGAAATCATAGACATGTAAAATATTATTTGGGGTAGTTCACAGATGGTTATGGATTACATGCTTTGACTAAAGGCAAAAGGAGATTGAAAATGCTTGGCAAATTTCTACTTAGGGTCTTGGTTGTGCTTATTGAGCTGCTACTCTAACTGTGTGTCTGTATCATGTGTAGAAATAATCATTTTGGTGCTCTTTGAAGATGTTAATGTCTAAGATCTTCTGTTTGTACAGAAAACTATGTTGTACCAACCTCCGAGATCATTGCCGTAGAAGAAACTGAACTTAACAAGAAACATCTTCATGTTGGCAAATGGCAAAAAATGGCAAAGCTACATGCTTTCACAGGTAAGGCAAATACAGTCTCAGGATGCTTGTGCTAGTTACTTTGTTGGAGGTACTTTAGGGCAGACTTAACAGGAATCTTCCTAATTTTTTTTTTTAACAGAATGATGTGTTTAAA